TCATGTTTCACCCAAGCTATATCGTTTACATTTGAAAGAGTCCATCCACTGCAGTTCTAAGCTGTTTCTCTTAGATATAAAAAAATCATTGCTCAAACCTAATGACTGAGCAGGGAGCAATCGAGTTAAACCATACCAATCGATCCAGTTAACTTTAACACAGGAAGGGATCAGAGTGACTGCCAGATCATATGGAAGAAAATTTCTTATATAACTATATGGACTATGTCATAGCTTTCATGAGTTGTACAACCATCTTCACAACTCAATGTAGACATAACTAATGGAGAACCATCTAAAGCTAAACTATTACAAGCCATTAATCAGAACAAATTATGAGGTAGCTTTTCATACTGCTTGCAGATAGGAAAGATCAGATACTGGAGACTCAATCACAAGAAAGGGACTATTAAACTTCTAATCTCCAGCAAGTTATGATTTCGACTCTAAATGCTAGAACAAGATCATCACAGCACATTATTGCAAAGTAAATAACCACCCTATATGTGGGTCAGTAAGGAATGAAATCTGACCTTGAAGCATAACCACTTTAGCACCTTCTCATCATTAAGCCTGTAAAACTTCGTCTTTCCAATATCTGTTGACACGCACACCAAAAAAAAGGAGATGGATAAGAAGATTAAGCATTAATTAACTTAAACTTTTCAAGTCAAACAACTTGAATTAGCCTTCCACACCAACCCAAAAAATAAATCATTATAGCTTCAAATGCTTTCTGATTTACACCATGATAGATCTACCATTTTTCAGATGTCTTTTTCTACTAAAATTTATTCGCAAAAAACAACTTTAAGCCAGATTCTTAACAGAAGGATGTGATGTGAAGTACATGGATAACATCTCTATCTATAGAATACTCCATAAATATGAGATGTCATGCCATCTAGCATTATAAAACAAAATAAAAACTGATTATTCTGAGACAGTATATTATCACCTTTGACATCACAAACCACTTGCATGCAGTTCTCAGCAACAGAAGAAAGATTCTGATATCCAGGATAGCCTACGACATAAGTTATTTCATCCAATTGCCTAAACTTTCCTAGATCATCCTTTTTCTGCATTTTGTCAGAATAAACAAAAGCGCAATTAGAGAACCAGCTAGCCAGTAGCCAAGTGGCAGGCAGTTGTCTCTGGTTAATGTTGCATGCAGCAAAAGACTTCGACCAGCCAAAAGAGAAAGAACATAATCCGAATCTTATGTAGTCATTCAGAGGAAGAGACCAATAGAGTCTTGAAAGTGCTTTACAAGCAGTTTTTAATATATGAATTTTAGCTAGCACTTTCTCTATATAAGAAACTTATTGCAGAGAGATACATCATTCAGAAATTAGAGATTAATACCTTCATTCTCGCTTCTTCGAAAATAGGTAACAGAACAAAAACAGGATCCACTGGAGTTGCAGTATATAATCGGCCATCTGTTTCGAGAAATAAATGAGAATACAGAAAAGCTAACAAAAAAAGAAACTAACACTTCCTCTAGAAATCAAGATCAATGGCATTGAAAGTTTTAAAGAGCAGAAGACAAACCAACAGGTTCTCTATCAAGAGCACAAAAGATAAAGTATAAGCATACCAATTATCCTAAGCATGAAATAAAATCAACACCATGTAAGCAAAAAGAAAGATTCCTCAATATGCATTAAACATGATATCAGAACATGGTTCATTCAGAATTTACAAATAGGGCCACCAATAAACTCTTTTTTCCCGACAGCCACTAAACCCAAGTTTAGTTCATATGTGCAACTCTTCTACTATTATCTCTGTTCCATTTTAATTGATGTGGGTCGACGTCCACGAAGCATATGAGTAAAATGTTTTAATGATTTATTACAAGTATTGACTTCTGGAGAGAAGAATGTAAATAATAACTTTCTCCAAGAAATTTAAAATAATAGTTTGAAATGTAAAAGAACAAAGAAGTTGGTTGAACGGAACGAAGAGTGTTTTTCCATATTAAGGAAGGAGTCATTGTTTTTCCAGATAAAATACAAATGAAATTTAGATCACTGACAAGTAGTTGTTTGAAATCTAAAATAATCAAAGGGAAGTGCACACAAGGATCAGAACCCTCAATCTTGCTCGTTTGAGACATTGCAGGTGGAATCGGAGCAAGACATAGGAGAACCATGTCTATACAGCAAAGACCAAGTTGGACGTGTAGTAGGGTAATTCATTGGACTATGTCAACAGTAAATGAGATAGGCCAAGCACCGTTGCATCCAGGTTGGACTAAAAATTTTAATTTTTTTTTTTTTTTTTTTGATAGATTATTTTAGAGAGGTAGTTTTAATCCTCCTTGCAGGTTGGTTCAAATTTCTACAATGCTTCATGAGAGTCTTAATCCTCCTACTGCATCCTCATCAAATCTTTTGCATGGAAAAATGAATCACACAAAGAACATTAAACTTGAGATTTTTTTTAAAAAAAGATGTTTTTATTTTCAATTCAAACACTTACTCTATGAAGTAAAGCCACTGTCAAGGACTACATATTTCCTCTAACGCTTATCATTCGGATTATCGAGAGAACTAATGGGCAACGATGGAAATGTAGACTTATCAGCTTTTGAAAGGGTTCATTAGATCAAGCTCAGACAAACTTTTACCTTCACATACATAATCCCCAAGGAACCAAGACCCATAAGATTGCTTGAACCAGTGAAGTTCTTGAAGAGATCCATCAACACAAATGTAGCATGTTGCATTTCCTGTCACAGAGGCGAATCCAAAAACATTATGTCCATCAATCTAATGTTATTGCACTATTAATACAACTTTAGTGACATAACCAGTTCCCAAAAGATAGCTCGACAATCAACAGAAGGTTAGAGCATGGTTAACAACAAATAAGCTGTAATAATTTCGATACATCCACCACTAACAATGTCTCAAGCCATATTGAAAGCATTAAAACCCAAAAGAAAAACAGTAAAACAAGTACATATAACGAAAGGCAACATCTTAGAAAAATAAAGATACAATTAAATAAGACAGTGGCATGAAAAGTGCAGGAATTTACCAGATTTGGGATGTTGGAGAGATAATAGCTGCCCTACCTTGTTCCCATCCTTTGAAGGCTCTGCAATGTTAAACTGAGTTACAGTTTGTAAAAAATAAAATAAAAATGTTAAACTGAGAATCTTCATATTGCAGTCAAGTTAGTAAAGGAGATTCTGGAACTGTAGTCTAGGAGATTGACATATCATTACTACCAAGGACCAATGACGCAGCAAGAGAGATATAAAGACGATTGTTTTTTTCAAGATGAGTTTTTTTTTCCTTTTCATAATCAAGATTCGACTATATGACAGGTCTATCAGGTTAAAGACATATCAGGAAGGACCAACAGTCATGAAATCTTGGATATTAGTGTTCATCCTTGGAGATGAAGCTTACATTCGGCTACCGATATCTTAAGCAAACAGTAATTATACATGCTTAAGACACTCCTTTTAGATCGGAGGCATATGCCAAGATTTTAACTTTATGGGCGCGAGTCAAAATTCCACCACAACTCATTTGATTTATTGAGTTTGAAATCAATTGTTTCTACTAATATATAGAATTTTTTAACACAAATACAGGGCCAAGCCAAAGCTACGGGGTTCGGATGAACCCATATCTTACATTCTATATCCGCCCCTGCTTTAGAATCCAAATGGATGAAGATATTCAAAGAATAGCAATATAACACAAATAATGTACTCAATATTCCCATCAAATAACAGGCAAAGCATATCTCTTAGGGCGCAAATTATTCAATCAAGATACAAAAATTAAGAACCATAGTACCCAATCGAAAGTTTCTACCTTTTCTGCTACACAATACATAAACAAGGTGCAATATGTAAGTGGAAATGTCAACAGAAAAAAAAGGAAGCGGCAAGGGAAAAGAGACACAAATTAAGGACGGAGTACCTGGTGCAATAAGAACACGAGCTTCATTGATACCCTCCCACCAAGCCATGGAACCCTTTCTCACACAAGTATAACCTCTATGATTTGAAGCAGTGAAATAAGGAGTGAAACTTAAAAGTTTATTAGGAGGAGCAAGTTTGCAGCCGAAGGAAAGTAGCGGGGAAGAAGAGATTTTGTAGGAATTTGGAATTGGCGCCGAAATCGGTCGGGATTTTGGTGCGAATATCAAGTTCATTTGTCACCCTAGTAGTAAATGGTTACTACTAGTGGTCAATAAAAAGTGATTTTTTTTCTTTTATTTTTATTTACCTTTAATGAATGACTAATAAAGGATCAATCAAAAATTTAATCTAATTAAGAATTTTGATACTTTGTAGTTGTATATAGCCATTAAAGTGATACTTTGTGGTTAAAGAAATTTGATACTTTGTTGTTGTTGTTGTTTGTTGTGTAGAGGCAAAGTATTGAAAATTCCCATCTTTGGAAAAGAACATTGGAGTGTTAGCGCGACAGTTAGTGGGCGTTTGGACATAAAAATTGTAAAATTCAAAAAAAAAATGAATGTTCTTTTTTCAAATGAAAATGATATTTGAAAATTAAAGTTATGTCTAGACATGAATATAATTTTGAATTGCTTTTGAATTTTTGTGCAAATTTTCGAAAAATTTCAAAATTCATCTTCAAGTAAAAATTAAAAATTTTATGGCCAAATGTTGTTTTGAAAAAAAAGTTACTGAAAAATTTATTATGTCCAAACTGGCTCTTAATCTCGTGATATAACAGTTCGATAGTAACATAGTTTTGGTATTACTTCTATTAACCTTTTTATTAAAGGCACTTCGATAAATATAGGATACCGGAGTTCCTTTTTTGGGGGAAATTTTTTATTACAAAGTGTTTAAACAAGTAACTATGAGAACAATTAAATACAGTACCGAAGGAAGAAACTTTTCACATGTAGGAAGAAAATTACTGATCCTGTGACTATTTTCCATGGAAGACCAAACTTTTTGCTCTAATTTATTTGGAAAAAAATGCAAATTGAAAACCTTCATAGAGACACACAGTTAGGCATTAGCATTGACCTCAAATATATTAGTCAAATAGGTTGTATGGTTCTAATAAGCACAAGAAAACCCAGTCGTTCTGATACCTAATGCAGTATCCAAAACTTCTAAAAAAACTGATGGAAATTTTAATCAACCACACCTCTTCTTCCACAGATGATCTTTTTTAAAGGAACAGATAGAGAAGTCCTTTATAGAACATTTGCACATCCACCATTTTGATGGATAGAGAATTAGTTTAGTCTTCATTTTTCACTTTTTGGTGGTCTTCGTCTCTGTAAATCCCCTCTCCTTTACCAATTTATAACATGTACACCTTAGTAAGCTGGCTCTGCCGGAAGCTGGAGCAGCTCACGTATCCCTTCATGAACCTGCATTCAAGTTTTTTCACAAAATATGCACCAGTTAGTGTAATTTCATCAGGAACATAAAAGAAAGCTCCGGCTTATCTCTCACAACTTGATATTATGTGCGTCCTTGAGAGCTCTGAAGCACATGTTTATTAGGAAGAAGGAAAGGAGAAAAATTAACCCACATACCATCTTGATCTGGGCCTTAATTGATGCAATTAGACGTGTATATTCCTCTATTTGCCTGCACATTTAATTGCAAAAAAATCAACATTCAGTGTAAGGCAAGAAACATGACTTAAAATAATGCTAGCCAGAGTATTTCCGCTTGAACATGGAAAAATGAAGTCATAAAACATGCCAGAGAAGGTTATTCTCTTCCTTGAGTGTGAAAAGCTCAAACACATAACTCCTCTCCTCCCCTCACCTCACCTCGACCCCAAAACAAACCAACAAGAGTTGAACCAGCTGGCTCCAATACCAAGGGGTTCAAAAGGAAAATGGAGAGGATGTGGATAGGAAAAGAAAAACAAACATCTGACCTGATTAGACACTTGTTATTTTTGAATGCAACAGTAAGAATTAGACACTGAAATTTACAACCTAAAATTCGGTATTCTTATCTTTTTCATCCATAGCAGTCTGGTTAAAGCTTAGACGAGTTTGAAAACAAAAACATAGATTGAACAAAATGAATTGCAGCTAGTTAGTTGAATGATACAAACAAACTACGCCTCAGCCCCAAACAAGTAGGAATTGGCTATATGAATTCTCACGGATCATGATTCTCAATTTAAACTCATCTCAAGCCAATATTATACAAAATAAAAATAAAAGGCTGAATACATATGCAGCCCCTTAAACTTGGCAGAAAATTTCACTTAAGACACTTTAACTAAAGGTGTGACCTATTGAACACTTGAACTAATCTAAAAATGTGTCAATTGAACATAATGTGCTGTTATGGCACAGTGAGTGTTTTTCACCTCCTTTGAGAGAGTGAGTATGCTTCATATTTTCCTGAATTCACTTTTTTAGCCAGAGATGTTCTAGGCTTTCCTCTCTCCCTACATTCTTTCTGTCCCCCTAATTCATTCTTTGGCCGGAAAATCCAACATCAACGAAAGCCATTTTTTCCAGTAATATAACCCGCTTTTCCAACCGCTAAATCACTTGGAAAATCTATAAAAATCTCGCCACCAAACCATAACGAGTGCATAAGTGAATTATGGATGATTTTAAATTCTAAAGAAGAAAAATCCATTTCAAAAAAAAAAAAAATCTAAAGAAGAAAAAGAGAAAAAGTTGAATGTTGAATGTTGAATTTTCCTTTAAAATTCTCTGTACAACTCATTTTCAGCCCACGTATCTTGTAACTTGCAGTATCTCAAAACTTGTCTTCCCTGTGACTCTCACCTAGAAACCTCTCTACGTTGAAAGTCATGAAGATCCCCACTTCATGAATTATAGAACCTTAAATACGGACACAAAAGAGAGAGAAAACCAGAGAAGACTAAAACAAAAAATAGCACGAAGGGAACATGGAGAGAAGATGCAAGTAACGGTCGTCACAGCCAGAGAAATGGTGGAAGAAACCGTCTTCTTCGTTGTAACGCCAGTCGCGGACAAAACTAAAACAGAATGTCAAACTTTAGCTCAAACTAAACCCACTGTGGGCATTCTTTCTTCTAGCTCAAACCTCGGATGTGTTTTTGGTGCAATGCGTGTTATTTTGATTATTCATAAAAGGGTGTCTGTCAAAGCTGAAGAAAAAAGTCCTCATTGGAGGATAGTAACAACAACAACAACAAAAAACCCAGTGTAATCCCACAAGTGTGGTCTGGGAAGGGTAGTGTGTACGCAGACCTTACCCCTACCTTATGAAGATAGAGAGGCTATTTACGGTAGACCCTCTGCCGAGGATAGTGATTTCTGTATACTTGTTTTAGGACAGGCGCCAATTTCCAGTTGTTTTGATTTGCCGCCAATCGTGATTTCAATTGAATTTATTAACTCAAAGACAGTTTTTTGTGCATTTTGTGCTCTTGCCGGAGTAGGTGACCAACCCCAGTCATTGGACTTTAATTTTTACTTGTTGCTGATGTGTCTTCTTTTTATTTGTCACTTTGCCATGACAACTGCTGTGAATCTCACGCATTCTGATGTTTTGGCTGAGCTGAAAAAGGTGTTCAATTGACATATTTTTAGCTTAGTTCAAGTGTTCAATAGGTTACACCTTAAGTTAAAGTGTCTATGTGGAATTAACTGACAAGTTTAAGGGGCCGCATATGTATTCAGCCAAAATAAAAAGTACCAAAAGTTCTCTATATTTCTACTAGCATATAGATCTCTGACAAGGCTAAAGGAGACCTAGGAAGCATAGGATCTAAAATAAACATACTAACATGAATATCTCCCAACTAATTGGCATCGCCTATATAGATCTTTTTCTTCATTGTGTCCTATCTTTCACCAAGTCTGCATGTATTTCAAGAGACAGTAAGTCTTCCGAGACTTCTTCCTTGTGATTTGAGGCTTATCTCGTCCCAATTTAACACCTTCACTCAACATTATTTCACACCTATGAACCGGTGCTCTTAAGGAGCTTGGGCTACTCAACTGATAGGACTAGGGGCTTGCAACGCAGGACATGGCCGAACCATCTCAAGCGAACTTCTTTTATTTTATCCTTGATATGTGCTATTAGTTGAATTATGCTGTCAGTAAACTTTAAAGCTGGTTATTCATGAAATGTAGCTTTAACTGTACTGTACAAATCTCAGAATTCTGCAAACTTCCCCATCTCCATTTATTCAAGTGACTCACTTACCAGTAATTGGTTTTAGGAAAGAGATCCAACCTATTTCTTATCAGTAAAAAAGAGATCCTCACTATACATCATAACGAGAAACTCCATGAGGGGTTTGATCTATTACTAAGATGACCAATTCATTGAATTCTTGTATTTTATCATCATCAATTCTTCTCCAAATCTTAAGAACAGAAGACGGATTTATCATGTGACCAACTTATACTTTACACAATCATCTAGATTTTGAAAGAAACTGTAACTGAATTTATGCCCTCAAACTTAAATAAAACACTAACGGTGGAATCACAAGTTAGAAGTACCTGGCTAATTTCTCCTCCCTTGCTGATATATACTTTAGAGCTTCCGACCAAGTGAACTCTACATGAAATCCAAGTCCGACGTCGACAAATATGTGTGTTGTATCTGGCCTGTTGAGCATGTTCAAATGATAGCAGACATCACTTGCTTTTGATTTATTTTTCTCAGAAAATTGCTTCCAACATTAAAATAAAGCTAACAAAGACTTACACATCAGCTTGCATATATACTTCAGAGCCAAGATTAACCAGCGTCCTCATATTAGTTACACTGTTTTTCTCCAAATTCTCTATATTGCTTCTCAAATCTGAGCTAAAAGAAGGTAGTTAAGAAAAATGCACAGACCTCATTCCAACGTCAAAGTTCAGATAAACAATTAAACAATTTAACCCATATAGCTGCAAGTAAATACATCAAGAAGTCCAAACGACTGAAATAATGATCCAACTAAATTTCCATAACTGTGTTATATAACAATATAATAACAAGGGAAGGATACAAAATCTTTTGCTGCTCAAAGACCTTGTCCCTGCAGCCAACAAGTGAAAGGAAAAAAAATAAACCAAGTTATGCCATCGTAAGATTATTTGCATGAAAGAAAATAAATTATTTGCATGAAAGAAAATAAGATTCGCTGGATATTTCCTCAAGTAACATGTATTTCCTACATCTGCCAGCAAGAACTAGCCAAATTCGTATGATGAAGACTCAAGGGCTTCAAGCTCCTGGTTACGATAATTAAACTTAAATATCGTATAGATCTTTATCATATGCAGCTAACTTTAGTATTTTGGATATAAACCATTCCATTACTTTCTAAGCAACAGTTGGACATCACTGTTCCCCATAAGGGGTAATTTGTCTACTGATCAGTTTGCTAATTGCAGAGTTTATTCCAACACATTGCCTACATACATTAAGATGCTAAAACTTTTTAACACAACATTGCGGGATTAAACCTCAAATTGATGAACAAAATTTAACCATGACTAGAATAACACCTAGTTTTTCCTCGTTCTACTGCACAATTTGACCATTAATTTGGAAAATAAGTTTTTACAAAAGCACCCATAATTTATACTATGATTGATGGAGGAGCAAGCTAAAAAAGTTTAAGGAAATCACCATAATAGGAATCTACTAGAATATACTTTAAATATAGATCATCAAAGATCCTTTTCTGTTAATATAAAAAGTGAAATGTTCAGCCGAAAAACTTCTTTGTCATTCAAGGATAGGGATCGAATAGAATGCAATAAATGGTGTGAAAGGAAGTAATTAGAGATATATGACACAGAAAATGATTTCAGGAAAACCGAGGAAACTAGAATGAGATATTTGTTATAACCGTTCAGCAATTGCATGAACAAGATCTGGTTTCAGACGGCGATCAACAAACTCCTCAAATCTCCTTACTTTCTCATGTTTAATAGTGTCCATTGCAATCCTGATACAAGATAAAATTGTGCAAGAAAAAACTTAAGCATCGCATCAAAGATAGAGCAGAACAAATTAAGAAATGAGACTCACACATCCGGAGAGAGTGAAATAGTGACAGTTAGAACCCTAATTTTCACTCATTAGAGTCTAAAATGGAGGGTGTTTCTCTTCCCTCCTTCTTTCGACCATTCCTCTGTTTTTTTTTCTTCTTTTTTTTAATGGCAGGTGGTGTCCGGACCAGTTTACGGCTCCTTGATTATTGGTATCTATTACTTCCCACCAACAGGTACCGGGAAACTCTGCCACTAAAGCTTATGACCTTAGGCAGATGGGAAGAAATCCACCTATTGTTCTTTTTGCATCTGCTGGTGTCACACCTCCTTTTTCCTACACCCCGGAAGGGTATAAAGGGAGTTTTTCCAATTAAAGGACAATCGAAACGGGATTTATTTAATTAAAGATTCAGAGTCGCCACTTGGGAGATTTATGGTGTCCCAAGTCACCAGTTTCAAATCCCGAATCGAGGAAATGGTTGACTCTGTATTACAGTCCGCGAACCAGAAATCCGGGTAAGGAATTCTGTTAACCCGGGAGAAGGTGTTAGACATTCCCGAGTTCCGTGGTTCTAGCACGGTCGCTCAACTGTTATATTCGGCTTAATTATCCGATTTTAAGAACATTTTGAACCTATGTGCATTTTTACTTTTAACCGCTTTTATTCATTTTTTAAAGAAGATTTAACGTCGTCTAAAACATGTCTTTGGATCGCGTCACATGAAATGCACCCGCAATCCGAAACACATTTTATTCAACGTTATAAGGATTTGATTTGGGTCACATGAAATGCACACCCGAGTTTAGGAAGGTAATATTATTAAAGTACGCGCCTAAAGCAACTACGCGTTTTTAGCTTAGCGAGGGCCATGGAAAATTCGCTAAATGGCACACCTCGAATTCTAAGGATTTGAACAAAAACTAATTAAAACGAGGGCCACGCAATTGAGATTTTATTTGGCGCGGTGCACCTCAATTCCATTTTTAAAGGATATTTAAACTAAAGTTCGGGGAGCCATAGACTATACCTTAACTCAACCCCAACGAATAAAGTGCTCAAAACCATACCAATCAAACTTCAGATCCACACTGAATGTCGACAACATTAAAATATGCCTCAATATTACAAAATAATAGCCACTACATGAAAGCAAATCAAGCAAACGAAAGCAATGATTATAGGCTTTAATCTTTTTCCGACAAATGAGTGAATAGCAATCACATGTTATCAGGCACACAATTAGCTCATTCATTCTGACTCGAGTACTCAACTTTGCATACAAATTTAGCATAGATTGAACAAGGATCAACATGAACTCAAAGTTCGACTTCAATCACAGTACCTTAACAGTGAGAAATCAACGCGAATTAAGCTTCAAAACACCACATATTACGCAAAAATCAAACTAAAAGAATCCATGTTGATTGAATTTCATCTCAATTTCATCAAAATCCACTATAAAAAGCGTCTCAATAACAACAAGACCAGCAAGAATCGAGCCACAATCGGAACAGAAGCAATTCGTAGAACATGAACAACAACAGTAAACTCCGTAAGGGAAAATTCGTTCACATATGGCTGAACATGAATCAGCTACTTTAACAAAACAGAGGCAGTAAATAAACAAACCATAATTGAAACCATAATAAACAAACAGAGGCAGTAATCACCAAGCCATAACTAAAAAGACATCAAACACCACCAAACGAGAATCACGACAGCCATAATTGAAACCAAGGAGAATCAAGACTTCCAATTTCCATTTTTCCACATACAACGAGTTCAAACTTTGAAGTTTCACAACATACCTAGGAATAGGCAAAATAAGCCGAGGGCGACGAACAAAGGTCTGAAGTAGAAGGTGCGACGGAGAACGAACAAGACAACAACAATCGAAACCGGAACCGTGAACCTCGACTTCTGAATCACATTCGAAAACACTCCAGACAGCGGGGATTTCAATAACCTCAGCTTGACTCCATAATTTAAACCTTTCTCGTTCTCCTCACTGTTTCTGGAATTCCTGCTCTGTTTCTCGGCTCTGTGCGTGTGAGTGGTGAAGGCTGTGTGTTGGAATCGAGTGAAGGAGCCGGGGTCGGTGGTTTTTGGTCGATGACTGATTTGGTTTAAGGTGTTCTCTAAGGTTCATCAAGTTGAGAGATGGAGAAGAGGCAACAGCCGCTGCTTCTCCTTGTATTTATGTCTGTGCCTTTTGTGTTTGAGTCTCAAGAAGAAGAAGCTGCAGGCTGTGATGAAGACGATGAGGTCCAGGGTGGGGTGGGGTCCTTTTTCCACTGTTGCGGCTGTCTCCTTCAGATTTTTTGCGCGTATTTTGTTGTGTCCCCTTAGCCCTTAGAGTCTTTTTATTTATTTTTTGTCCCAAAGAAGAGTCTAGAAGGGTCCCTAGGCTTAATGGACTAATCCGAATTGGGCCAAGAATTGGGCTCTAAAACTCTTAAAATTGTGATCCAACACCTTAATTGACTCCTTTTAAAATAGAGAAAACTACCCTCTATAGCCCCTCAAAATTTTAATAGCCCATGTTTTGTCCTACTTACAAAAAATGGCCCTTCGGCCCAAAAGTATTGCATAAGTAGCCGAAAGGAATGAGTATGACAACATAAGCGTCTGTAGCTCAGTGGATAGAGCGCCTGTTTCCTAAGCTGAAGGTCGTAGGTTCGACCCCTGCCTGGCGCGATAGAGCAACCCTTTTTTGCAATGTATAAATATTGTATCCTAAGTTCGACAGTGTGTCCTTGGTGTATATTGAGCCTATCTCGAGTGTGCTTGTGTATCTAAAGTGTATATATTTGTGTCCCCAAATGTATTTTGTATCGTGAATGTATAATCTGTCTGAAAATTGTATCAAAATTGTATATAATGTGTATTTTCTAATATGTAAACATAATGTCTATAAATTATATACAATTTTGTATGTGTAATGTGTGCACACTGTGTATTTGGAGTGTATCATGTATTTTTGTATAGTGACAGTCTTTTTTGTATATATTTGTATAGTTACATCTATTTTGTATATATTTTGTATAGTTACATCTATTTTGTATATTTTTTGTATAGTGACAGTCTATAGTGACAGTCTATTTTGTATATTTTTTGTATAATAACAGTCTATTTAGTATATATTTTGTATAGTGACAGTAAATTTTATATATAAGTGTATCTTGTATTTTTCAGTGTATTTCGTATACTTTTTGTATAGTGATAGTCCATTTTGTATATAGTAACCGTCTATTTAGTATATATTTTGTATAGTGACAGTTTATTTTGTATAGTATATAAAAAGATATGCAGAAGAGACAAAAACAGAGGAAATAATCACAAAGTGTTGACCAGAAGTTGCAATAACACAAGATGATCAGTTCTTGGGTCACATTAATCTAAAAATCATATTAATTTTTCGATACTCCAGAAGTAAAATCATTTTACAGAGATGGAATAAAGACAAACTCTTAGAAATTAAAGAATAAATGACAATCATCCCTTTCTGTCAATTCTAATTTTCAGGGGCAAAAGTTCAACTATAGTATATACTTACAATCAATAACGTCATATTTAAGGTATTGTAAATTGTCACAATTACTAAACTCCGAATTGGGTAAGTTTTATTTTAGCTTTTGCACAATCCACAAAGCAGTAAGCAAATATTCCAGAAAGAGAAACACAAGTTCTTATCATAAAGAATCAGAATCAAATTAAAATATCCTTAGAAATACATAAATGGTCAGTCAAACTATTCAAACTAAAAATAGAAAATTCAGAAAAGGGAAAGAACTTTAATTCACCAGAGGAGCAAAAATTGATAGTATAAAGGTGTGTTTGAGTTGAAAGGTTTGTATACAACGTTTAAGTTATTCCCTTTGTTTTTGCTGGCGGCCGATAAGTTATATAAGGTTCAAGAAAAACGATTGTGAAGAACGGAAAATACGGAAATTGCTGAAGAAAGAAGCAGAGAGCGGTTTGGGCTAGCCACGAGAATTACTTTTGGGCTATAAAATGCATATTAAAATTTTGGGCTACCGGATGATATTTATTTTGCCCGATGGGCTATAAATGAAGTTCTCTCTTTAAAATAAGATAAAATAATACACAATGCAAAATCTAACATGAAAGTATTATATATTTTTTGTATTTTCAAGATTATGTAAAGATAAAAATAAGGTACTGTTTTTGTATAATTCTTATTTAAATTTATGAAAGATACGTAAGCTAAAATAGTTTTTGTAATTTTCCATTTTTATGACGAAAATAAAGGAAAAAAGTCAAAAATGGTTGAAATAGCTATATTAGGCCTACATTAAATATTTACATGCTAAAATATAAAAAATCTTGGGGAGGGTCAAAAATCACATTGGTCGTAGGTTCGAATCCTACTTGGGGAGATTTGATTGATTCTGAATTAAAGAATTAAGAATAAAGGGGCTCGCTTTGCCCGTTAAGAGTAGGTAACCCGTTCCCTGTCTTTGTTTCTATTGCATTCTATCTCATTGTATCACATTCTGTTCTGCGAGATTAGAAAATCACCATCAATACCTCGGTCTAGGTCCGAGATAATCCTTTGTTCCATAGCCCTGGGGCTATTTACAACTAGCCAATTAAGAAGTCTCAGATGTACTAGCACTGCATCTTTGATGCAGTCATCGATTCTCCCGAGAGGTCACAATTGCCGCGAGCAAAGATATTAATGACGAGGAAGGCTTTTTTGTTATGCTACTAATACTTGCTCTGCTATTCTGCGGATTTGAACTTGAGACCTTATGGTTCTCCAATGTTTATTTTCTTTCTTCCACTTCTGAATTTTTTTTCCAATAATAGTGGTGTTCAGGCCACCTCGATTACTCCATTGCCAATTGCTAAGCTACATCCATGGGTGCTTCTCTCTTTTCTCTCCTTTTTCCTAAATTTGTTAGTTTATAAAATGTTTTCAAATCATGGAATCAGAATAAAACAAATTTAGTAAAACATACAAAATTATATTTATTTGGCTTCTCACTCGTTCAAAAACCCTCCCTTCCATTCACAGAACGAAACATAGCTACAACAACAACAAAAAAAAGGAAATATAAATAAAAAAGAAGCAGAAATTAAGTTGAATTTACCAGAAATGAGGCAACTGTATTTAAGTCAGCCAGAGAAATTGAGGCAACTGTTTGATATTCAACTAGGGTTTCTGTGGAATGAATGAAGTCTGTTGCTTCAGAGACCGATGCCGACGAGAAGAGAGGTTTGGACAGTCACTCGTCGCCTTCACAATTTATACTCATCTTGAGTTTAGGCTACTGCTTCCCGGGCTAAAGTAGTGTTTTTATTTTATTTATTCAATTGAAAAACTAATGAGTTTTTTTTTTATTGACTTTGTAGGCGTTTGGATACGAAAAAATATAATTTAAAAATTGGAGAGTTAAGTTGGAAAAAGTTGAAATTCAAAATTGTGTTTGAATATACATTTTACTTGAAAAATTATTATAGTTTATGAAGAAAAATGAATTTTTACATGAAAATATGGTAAAAGCCACTTTTTCAAATTTCCAAACTCATCTTGGGAAAATCATTTCAATGTATAACCAATTGTTTGAAAATCTTTTTCAAAAGAAAGAAATTTTTTTGATGGCAAACGGGTCTTAGGTTTGATAGGACAATAAATTTTATTTTCTTAAGATAATATCAGATTAAACACACTTTTTTTTGTTTTATCCTTTGTGATATGATTTGGGATTACTCTAAGTAGGTCTTATTGGGGATTGCTTTGACGCCAAATGACGCGCTACTAGTTCCACACAAGCGGACTAATTGAAAATAAATTGATTAATGGGGCTAATTATATAAAATAATAATACATAAATTGAAGAACATAAAATATCTCGATCCCTATCTGAAGCCATTAGTTGTGAAGCCAACATGTTCAAAAACGACCCGAAAAAAAGCAAAGATTAAAGAAGAAAAAATTACCAATTCAACTTAAAGATCTCGAGTCAAACAAATATTTTGCCTAACCTCACCATAATATTTGTGAACTCACACTATGTAAAAACTCTACCTACGAATAAGTCTTTTATTAAAAAATTTATTTTAATCAAGAGAGGAAAAACTAAAAATAAGGAAAGAGAAATAGTAAAAATAAGGAAAGGAAACGAAAACTCATATTTTGCAAGGATTTTTTTTTTTTAATACAAAACATCTTTTTTTTTTGAAGGAAACAAGAAATAGGATTGAGATATTTTTGTTATCCTAGCTACAAACTCTGTGCTAGTCGAGTTATTCATGATCGTATCAATTTATTTGTCAGAAAATTCACATATTTATTTGCGTAGTCTAGTTAATAATAGTAGTGCCGTTGTTCACTTCGCATCAATTAATGTTATAGTCCACTATATTTTTAAAGTTCTATGGCTAATATCTTAAAAAATTTTTAGTTTACACGTAAGATATATGAAATTAAGCGCAATAGATCATTGCAACATCATTTTTTTTTATCAAATTATAAGTGGTTATGAGGGTGTTTGGATTGACTTAAAAGCCGTCAAACAAGCTTCAAAGCACATTTTGGTTAGTTTGAGTGTTTGGCGAACTTAAAATATATATAGAATTATTTTCTCATTCAATTCGGCAAGTGTTTATAATTTTTAATTAGGGATGACTCCAAAAAATATAAATTATGAAAAAAATTACATAATGCCGATTTGATTCTATTTTAACTGACGTTATCTTTTGCAGTTAATGTATAAATCAAACTAAATATTATTGTATTTGAACTTTTAACACCAAAAAACACTAAACAAATACATTGAATATTACTTACTCCATTAATATAATTAATTAGTTGATAAGTTACGGGAGAAGCATATACTGGAGGCTGGAGCGGCTTATTTTTTTCCGACAGTAAAATATTTTTGAACAATTCGTATATAATTTGGGTTTAGGGTTTAAGAGTAGCATAACTCGCTTTTGCTACACTATCACTTGAACGAACACAACAGTCGAAGGAAACTTCCTACAATCAAATCAAATGCGTGTCTGAAATTTTTTCCATGTGGGTTTCAACAATAAGGTCAGCTTCTTATAGATACCTATTCAAGAACAGCAATCAATTTATTCGACCGAAATCAGTTTCTTCAGTAGCTCAATTAAGCCCATATTTTTCAGATTCTAGTTCTGATGAACAAAATGGAAATACCCAAATGAAAAATAGTACTAACAATATTGTTGAGGTAAATTCATATTGGGTCACTGAAATGCTCAACAGTTTAAAGGAAGAGCCGGAAAATGCTTTATTATTTTTTCGTCAATTAAAAGAAAGTGGGTTTAAACATGATGTACAAACTTATATGGCTATGGTTAGGACATTTTGTTATTGGGGTATGGATATGAAATTGGATTCTTTGTTTTTGGAGGTTATAAATTGTGGAAAAAAGGATTTGGGGTTTGAGGCTTCTGATTTGTTTGAGGAATTGGTGGAGGGGTTAAATGCCGAGGGCCCGAATTCGTTGGTTCGGGCTTTAGATGCATTGCTTAAGGCTTACGCGAGTTTAAGGATGTTTGATGAAGCTATTGATGTGTTGTTCAAGACGAAGAGGTGTGGTTTTGGGCTGAGTGTGTTGTCGTGTAATTATCTCATGAATCGCCTTGTTGAGTGCGGGAAAGTAGATATGGCCGTGGCGGTTTATAAACAGTTGAAAAGGATTGCGGTGAAACCCAATGTGTATACATATGGAATTGTGATCAAGGCATTGTGTAGAAAAGGTAATTTGGAAGAAGCGGTTACTGTATTTGAGGAGATGGAGAAAGCTGGTGAAACTCCTAATGAGTTTACTTATTCCACTTATATTGAAGGGCTTTGCTCGTATGGTAGATCAGACTTGGCTTATGATGTATTGCGGGCATGGAAAGGGGCGAATGTACCCCTTAACGTCTACGCCTATACTGCTGTAATTCGTGGGTTTGTTAATGAGAAGAGGTTGCAAGAAGCAGAAATTGTTCTGCTTGACATGGAGGAGCAAGAACTGATCCCTGATGCCTTTTCTTATGGGGCTATAATTCATGGTTACTGCGATATCGGGAATATTACTAAAGCTCTGGATTTCCATGACAAGATGGAAGCAAGGGGTATCAAAAGTAATTGTGTGATTGTCAGCTCAATTCTTCAGTGCTTGTGCAAAAATGGCAAGGCATGTTATGTTGTTGATCAGTTCAAAAGTTTTATGAAGCAGGGCATTTTTCTTGATGAGGTGGCTTATAATGTCGTAATTGATGCCCTGTGCAAACTCGGTAGGTTTGAAGAGGCGGTGGAGTTGCTTGATGAGATGAAGGATAAGAAGATGACACTTGACATTGTGCATTACACTACTTTTATAAATGGGTATTGCCTCCATGGAAAAATACTAGATGCGTTGGAGTTATTTGAAGAAATGAAAGAGAAAGGCTTGAAACCTGACGTTATTACTTATAATGTGCTAGCTGGTGGATTTTCTAGAAATGGCCTTGTTAAAGAGGCACTTCACCTTTTGGACCATATGAAGGGACAAGGCTTGACGCCAACGACTGTCACACATAATGTGATTATTGAGGGCTTATGTGTTGGAGGTTATGCAGAGGAGGCTGAAGCATTTTTTAGTAGTTTGGAGTATAAATCTGTAGAAAATTATGCTGCCATGGTGAATGGATATTGTGAATTAGGCAAAACTAAAGATGCCTATGAACTTTTTGTTAGGCTATCAAAACAAGGCATTTTAATTAGAAGGAACTCTCGTTTGAAGCTTCTGAGTAGCCTCTGTCTGGAAGGTGAATACGGGAAAGCCATAAAGTTGTTCGAGATAGTGTTGACTTTAGGTGATGACACTTGTAAAATAATGTACAGCAAACTAATTGCTTGTTTATCTAGTGCTGGAGATATGAAAAGGGCCAGGTGGGTGTTCGATAATATGGTTTGGAGAGGATTAACGCCTGACGTGGTTATTTATACTATGATGTTAAATGGTTACTGCAAGGTGAATCACTTGCAGGAAGCTGTTATTCTTTTTGATGATATGAAGGAAAGGGGCATTTCTCCTGATGTGATCACTTACACAGTTATGCTTGATGGTCACTCTAAAAATCTAAAAAGAGATCGATCATCATCAGATACAAGGAGGAATGGCGGAGAAAGAAAGGATACATGGTGGAATAATGAGGAAAAGATAGACCCTTCAACTTTTTGGAGTGAAATGAAGGAGATGGAATTAAAAGCTGATGTTATTTGCTACACTGTTTTGATTGACAGTCACTGTAAATCAGATAACATTGATGATGCTATTCGCCTTTTCACTGAAATGATTGATCGAGGTTTAGAACCTGATAGTGTTACATACACAGCTCTGATATGTGGCTATTGTAAGCAAGGACATGTTGAGATGGCTAAAGACCTTGTGAATGAGATGTGGAGTAAGGGAATACAACCAGATAGCCATACAATCTCAGCATTACATCATGGCATCATAAAGGCCAAAAAGGTGCACCTTAGGCATAACAATAACTCGGGAAAAACAGAGGTACTTTCAACACCTTAAGTTTCCGGTAGTTTATTTTTGAATTTCTACATGCATGTTAGTTATATGGTCTGAATTTCTCATGCATGTTTGGTATTTGATCCTTGCTGCACCAGCTTTGAAGATTCTTTTCCCTGTGTACATTTTGCATCTCCTCATTTTTATTTTATGCAGGTGATTCGATCCTCATAGATGAGTGACATTTATTGGAGCTCTATTGCACTGCGTAAGTTGTCTATTATGGAAATGCGGAGCTTCATGCAAGGATTATCAGGAAAATGCACAAGTAAATTACAGCAGGGATTGGGGTGCCAAGCATCAGACCAACATGAAACATTCTGGTCAATCTATACCTGTTGGTGGTCTTGCCTATAATATTGCTGCACCATGAAGGTAACCAGTGTCTCTGTTCCACTATATTATGGTTGCCTTATGTTCGTGCAATTCTCATTATTGACCTCCAGCAAAGTCAGTTTCTTCCTCAAATGCTTGCTTACACTTGCTCTTCCTAACTGCAGCCTGGCGGATACAATAGCACATACTTTCAATGCTATATTGTATTCACTGCTGTCAGCTTGTGCTTTGTTCTTGAAAACTTGGATCAAGGTTTCAGGATCATCAGCCTATGTTGTAGCTAAGCCGTTAAAGGTATGATCTTCATTCGGTTTCATGTCTTCATAATTTATATAGACATGTTTTGTTGGTTAATATAAGGACAATCCTGAGGTTGAGAGCTAAAGTCTCAAGTTTCGTTGGTTAATATAAGGACGATCCTGAGGTTGAGAGCTAAAGTCTCTCTCACCCCGCACACCATTTCACTTGTCAAAAGAAAGATAAAAAAAACTTCTGTCGCTGTTATATCTGTCCGTATGTACTACTATCAGGTGTTAAATTTAGTTAAGAAAAACATGTGTAACAAGTTGAGCGGATATAGATGCAAGTCGACTTTGAAAAGAACAACTTAACTTCCATGTTTGAACATGTTTATGTCGATGGAAAGATATAGGTGGACTGCTTATGCATAGAACTGCAGAAAGTTGGGTTTGATTTTTACTTATCCAACAGCAAAAAAATAAAAGCAGTAAGTAAAAAAAATAAAATTTTGGGTTTGACTTGTTTTATTGTCTGAATTTTCTGATTTTACTATCTTGATATGGAACTGCAACCTGCACAAGTATTGTAGTTGATAAACTGAACAAGAACTTGTCTCCCATGCTTTTCCTGGTTTGTATCCTTTTTTATGATAGGAATGGTGATGGCTGGGTATGAGAAATCAAACATGTACCAAGAGTTAAACCTCTAGATATGGACAGCTGCAGCCTTTGGTGGAGAGCGCGTGGTATCCAGACTGTGTTGGGGTGATCTGAAAGGAGCAGTTGGTTCAGGGAGTGGAATTTCTTGGCAGTCGCCATCATATATCAGTATTTTGACACATACAAGAAGGTAAAAGCCAGTGAACTTGGTTTGTTTAGTCTCTCAGCGCCATAGAACAGTTAACTCTTGGTATCATGCAAGCTGCAACATATAATTAGCTATTCCTTCTCTATCTTTGAAGGTTTCAGATCAAAGATCAATAATTGGACAGCCTTGCAACAACAAGAAAGCTAGCTGAAAAAGATGCAGTAACTGAGGCTCTGGAAGGGCGCCGTTCTTTGTGTCTTTTTTGCATATATTGTAAAAGAAAAAGTTTCATGTTATAACCATGTTGTATAGAAACCTCTTTTGATTATAATTATCCATTTTGATTTCAATACGGAGCACTGTGTTTACTATCACCACCACAATTGAAAAAAAAAATTCTAAATTGTTGGGCCCTGCATAGCATGGACATCATCCCTCTAGTTTGAGATATATATAGAAAGATGAAGCCAAGATCAGTTTCAACATGTCTTTTTCTTGGGATTTAATTCAAAGCTGTTGTACTTTTTTGCTCCGATAGTCTAAAAATGTTCTCAATATGACCCCAAAAAAACCCAGATGTCTCTAATCTTAATACCTTTCATTTCCGTTTGAACAGCTTATATAGCTCTTTATATAAGGACTTACGTGTCCTTTTACGCTGCAACAAACAGCCACCTCACCAAATACCTTATTTTCCTCTTTTTTCTCCAAAATCTTCTTTGCCTCGGTTTCCCTGCTAGTTGTGTCTTTCTTTAAGTTTCCCCAATTTCTACCCTGTTCAGTTTCTTGTTCACCTTTGTTTATTTGATCTCTGCTGTTTATTGATCAGGTTTTCTTGGCTTTTATTTGTTTTCTGTAATTCATCTGCTTTGTCTACATGGAGAAAATCTATCCGTGCACCCTCCAAATTCCATATGCATCCTTCTGGTCTTCCGCAAGGTCAGAGGTAAGAGACAAAATAAAAGATAGTGAAAATCGTGACACTTTTAGAGGCTGTCATTTTATGAACTTTCTTTGTTCTCTTTGATAGCACAGAGAAGTAGAAAGAAGATGCAGCAGCTTATTTATTGGTATACCGCGTGGAAAAGGACGGCATCCATCGTTTACCCACTGTGGTCATGCATTGATAGTTCAATTTTGAGATTTGGAATGTGAGACTTTAAATTTTATGCAAGAGTTGGTTTATCGTATTTGATCCTGGTATATTTGTTGATTCATAAACTGATGTTTAGTACCAGCAGAAATTAGAAAATAACTTAAAAGAGACTTCAAGATGAATGTGCCCTTATTGCTTAGACAATGAGGTACTGGTGAAATGAAGGATGAATTCCATCTGTTACTACATATTAATTTAGTTTAATCTTTTTGAGCGTAGTGCATTTGTTGAAGAATATGGATGTGAAATGGATAAAGGTAGTACATGGCTGAAGACGCTGAAAATCTAGTCTGGTACCTGCAACATAAGTATGTTTTGTACCTCGGATCTTCCAAAGGTTTGGCTGAGAGACGAGTTTCAACCATTGTTTTGAGAAAAAACGAAGTTTGATCTCCTTATATGCGATATCAGGTAGATTGTAGTTTATCTGTACATTCCGATCTTTTCTATGTTTTTTGTTTTTTTTTATAAATAAGTGATTTTCGCCATCTTATGATCCAAAGAAGAATGAAGAATACAACAATAACAACCCCGTAGAGTAAACATGAGAAAATTTTCTTTTAGACTCGCTTCTTTGCCGGTGGCTGCTGGTGAAGCCAGTTCTATGAGGCAAGTCGATGTGGCCAACTTAATGAAGGTAGTGTTGAGGAATTTTCAGTATTGATTCTATTTTCCGCTTTATTTTTGGGGATAAAACTAAAAAAGTTGGTTTGTGCAGGGATGGAATATTATAGTCATGGATATTACCTTTTTCTTTACGCCTTTATATATTTGTTTGTCTGCTTATTCAGGGAAAGCCTGTCCATTTCTTCCCTTTTTTTTCTTGTTTGTTTCGCATGAAGCTCAGGGATTAAAAACAATGCAGAAACTTGTTGAAATTTGACTCCAGTTTTCTTTTTACTGGATTCTAATGGATTATCTTTATTGTGAAAATCCTCCTATTGCTTTCTTAATATTGCTCTAAACACATTCTTTTATAGTATACGCTTTATTAGTAGAATGAGATCATCTAGCATTAATTCACTAGAGATTTCACTGATCTAATATTTTTCAATTATGACCAGTTCAAAATATATGAGAACCCAAGAGCATAGTCCTCACTCCTCAGAAGATAGAATATGAATATGTGCCTTTTAATTCATAAATTAACAACTTAAGTGAACTAGATGTTTTGTTTCCCTTTTTGGTTTCCAGCAATAGAATAGGTGCTGGGTGATGAACTAATGTATCTTTGGTTTATTTATATCAACATTGTACTAGGTAGGGTGGTCCATTTGACTAATTATGTGTAGTTATTAAAGACTTTGTAATCCTACGTTGATAAGCATTGTGTTTTAGGCATGTGTGTTACATCTTTTGGTGGTGGAAGCATTTTAAGTAGGAGCGAAGTGTTCTTTTTATTTTTAATCTTAACCTCTGAAGAAGTCAATTAGTTCACTGATTTCTTGCCGAATGACTTGAATTATCCTTGATAGAGGAATCTTTTCAGGAAGATCATGTGATTGACAGCGAACAATCTTTGTTGAAGAAGATAATTGTTCTATGTTACCATTCTCAAAAAAAAGAAAGATAATCGTTCTTGCTAAAAAGAGAGGGAATCAACTTCCTTATGTTAAATAATTATTCTGGATAATTCTCTTGTAAGTGACTGCTGGCGGTTGATGGCGCAAATGGAGAACCTGGTAATCAGGCACAGCTTCAGGGAGATTAATGCAGTAGCAGATAATCTAGGTAAGGAAGGAAAGAAGCGAGTATGTTTTGATTATGTTAGCTATCTAGCCACCTCATCCCCTACTACCCTTAAGTTACTAGAAAGGGATAAAAGCAAGACTGTTTTTGTTAGAAAAGCCTCGACTGATGTTTGTAATTTTTTTAGCTCGCTTTGGGGAACATGCACGCTCTTAGGGGCGCTACTTGGTTATTAGTAATATATTTGCTGTTTTTACAAAAAAAAATATTCTGGATAAGGAACAATTTCTTTTTGGTACTCATGTGATGCCTATTAGATCATAAAGTTTTATTTGGCTGAAAATTCACCCCCTTTGAAAATTAGTAGTTTTATTGAATCGGCATATGCTATCTTTATTCATACTTCCTTATTGTTCTTCACCTAGTAGTTTTTGAATAATTTGCTTGGAATATACTTTAGTTTGTATTTCATTTAGATGTTCTGTTTGAAGTACTCGTGCTGGATTGATCTTGCCGTCTTGGCATACTTGATAGGGACCGATTCGTAATCTTCTGGTCGAGTTCTTGCATTTCTTTTCTCTGCTTCACATTTAAATGCAAATGCATTCATATTTATAGTAAGATCACATTCTCATGCTTTATCCAGGAGGCTGTGGAACAGATATTCCAGGAATTCTGAAAGCAAAAGTGGATTTTGTTTATCAGAAGAAGACTACAGAGTAAGTCTTTGCTTTTAACTAACACCAAAAGGTTACTATTGTCAGTTGTGTATTTTATAGTATGAATTTTGTACCAAAGGTACTTAGATTAATGGCTGTTGGAAAATGTTTTAAAGAAATTGTCCTGGTGCTTTGTTCTTATTTGGAAAGACTACCCCCCCCCACCCCCACCCCCACCCCCACCCCCACAAGTATTAAGCTTCAAATATTCTTTTAAATTGCAATGTTGTTATGTCCTCAGAATCACTTGTGGAATCACACTGGGTTTGTTGTCATGGTCAATCACAATGTTGTTATATCTTTATAGGCACATGAATGTTTTACTGTACCCTCTTAATTTTTGTTAAAGATGTCGCATTTATGTTTTGTTATATCTTTATCGGTATCGAGTGTTTATATCACATACCAATAAATAAATGATACTTGTGACTTTATTTAACCACAACATAATGTATTTAACCATGGTAAGCTACCATTTGTTTTGCACATGATCTTAATTAGTAATAATTGGTTTATCGGCTATCCTGTTCAACTAAGCTCAATTATGATACTAGATTGGAAGATAATTGATCCCTTGTTTCAAAATGCAAATAGAAGTACAAATTGAGTGAGAGATTTGGCTATTCCAAAGAGCTTTACCTACTCTTTCCCGAGTTAATGACAACTTACATATCTGGCATTCTTAGTGACGATACTATAGGAGGTCTTGCGGAAAAATAGCTCGATGCCAGGATGATAAAAAGCGTAGCACCTCTCGTTCTTATTACTTTTTTAATATGAAAAGGAAAAAAAAATAAAAAATCTAAAGGTCGTTTTATTCAAAACTCCAATTGTGACATCCCTTCTCTCCCACTTCACACCTCGGAACGCACCCTTCATATAGAGATAAACGCGCTTTCACATCTTATTAACCCGAAATGGCTGGGGAGGGAAGAGGTTCCTTTTTTTGAGGGTACTCCCGGAAACAAATCTAGTGGAGACGGGTGGGACCTGTAGCTCAGAGGATTAGAGCACGTGGCTACGAACCACGGTGTCGGGGATTCAAATCCCTCCTCGGCCACAACCGGCAAAAAGGAAGCACCTTTTCCCCTAGGGGTAGGAAAATCATGATCGGGATAGCGAACCAGAAGCTATGGAACTTGGGTGTGTTATGAAACAATTTATAAGGGAAATTCATAGACACATAAAGATGGAGGGAAATCACATAATGAGTGAATCTCTTCTTTAAGCATGAGATAACAACACTCATACATAGCAACTCACAATGACAGTAGAATTCATTAGTTTCCAAGAAACGAAAAAAAAGGCAGCTTAATGCATAAAGTATCCCATTCTCACGCAGGGTCCGAGGAAGGGTCACACCCCAAAGGACGTGATGTAGACAGCCTGCATTAGTGGCTACTTCTCGAGTCCGGACCTATGGGCCATAGGGAGACAACTTTATCGTTGCTCCAATGTTCCGCTTCTAGAATTCATTAGTTTCCAAATCGACCAAAATTCCTATTTCCTGTTCAGTAGAACTAGTCAACAGATCAAGCATTATGCGAAAGCAAATGAAAAGGTGTTTCAGCTCTCTACAACAGCTTCTCAACTTCTAACTCAAAGAAATCATCACATCTGAATTGAACACTTGAATGCCAGACTACTATTGACATTAGTGAGAACAATTGAAATCATCACTTATTTTGAACCTTCAACCTGAGCCCTCAATTTGCTTCAGAAGATATATATATATATATATATATATATATATATATATATATATATTCTGTATGTTATATAACAGAATGAACAATGATGCTTCAAGAAATTGGTAGCAGTTACTAGTGTCATTTAGCAAAATATAAAATGCAAGTGAAGAAGAGGAAAAACAGCAAGTTACCTAAGAGATAACTTCTGTAAATCATACAGATTAGGACAGACAAAAGTAACTCATAAAATAAAATTCAGAGTACCTTTATCATTATGGATGATGAAAAGAATAGTACATGTTTAAACTTATGATGTCTTGCTACAACTTATTTACCTGATGATTCTGTGTCAACATCCTAAACTACCGTCTTTAGAATGATCTCTCCAAGTTATATATATATATATAGATGATCAAGTGGCTGGAAATGTTAACACCGCGCAATGTATCCCATATCAACAAGTACTTTCTCGAATAGGACTTCGACACATTTTCTCATTTTTTCCACGAGAGGCACGAATCGAGTACAAAGAAGCTTTCACATAGCAATTCCTTCTTCTCATTAAGAACTTCCAATAGCTTTACAGGGCCAGAAAAATAGCTGTCGAACATGTTGTTATTGAACTTGTTCTAATGCTGAAGAGATTGTCAAGGCTTCTAATACAGGCAAACTTTCTTCATTTGAGGCTTCCATTCGATATGATTTACAACTGAAGTAAAAGACAGTACTCATCATAGAGTCAATAAGCATCACAAATGAATACAATATTACCAAAAGTGGCCCTTCCCAAATTCTTGAAGATCCATTTCCATAGCTTAGTATCTTCACTCTATGCTCAAACAAACCCTCCACAAATGCCATCCCAATAGTCGATCCGAGAAATATCAATAGCCCAACTTGTGTTTGCCCCTTGATGAGTGAACTAGACCGAAGCAACGCTTGTGGTCCAGAATCATCCTCCAAAACAGATATCACAATAGCAATATTGCAAATGATCATAGCGTTTGCTAAAATTATAGAGAAAATCATTCCAACTATCATCGCTGGGTACAAAATTAAGTCCGGAGGGAACCCCATTACAGAGAAAGCACTGCTCACTGCCACAAGAAGTACAATAAACAACACGAGACAACCAGAAATCACCATACACACCCACATATAAGTCATGACGATGCGCTTCCAAATCTTTGTAACGATAACATAAAACTTTCTAGTGTCGAAATTCTTCCTCGAGTACGTGCAATCAACAGAGTAGACTATAGCAGCTTTAGACAAAAGCAACAAAGTAACATATAAAGGAAAGCACATTACAGCTGAAATCACCATTTCAGAGAACTTTTGACAAGACTGTTTGATAAAGGGCTTAAGTGGAAGCCCACTGGACTTGGCCAAAAGCAATAACCTAATAATCAATTTCTTCACAACAGATTGATCAACTAAAACATTAGATAAAAGAACAGCAGAAACAGGGCAAATTAACAATGCAGCAATTGACAAGAAACCTATAGGATTGTACC